GCCTGGGAACGCCTTGGAGTTCCCCCGGAGGAGCTGGAAGAAGTGGCTGGGGAGAGGGAGGTCTGGGCCTCCCTTCTGAAGCTGATGCCCCCGCGACCCGACCCCGGATAGGCGGAAGAAAATGGATGGATGGATGGATAATTCAAAGATAAAGTGAGCACCATGAGTTAAGTTTATCTGACGACAGTTTCTTGTACCTAGTTGGACCAATGTTTGAAAAGACTAAGTGCAAATATAGGATTTCTACATAAAACAGGAGATTGCAATCTAGTAACCAGGATAACTGCTAGTGGGCCAAATCAAATGGCTTGGTGGGCCAAATATGGCCCACGGGCCCCACTTTGGGAACCTCTGATCTAATGGAAACCTCGGTGGAAGTGAGTCGGCCTGTCTGAAGTGTAAAGGCAGCTCGTTCCACAGTTTAGGGACAGCAACTGAAAATGTGCGGTCACCTCTGAGCCTCCGCTTTGATTTTGGGATGACCAGCAGGAACTGATCTGCTGACCTGAAAGAAATGTCTGGATCATGGCCAATTTCCTTAGGTGATAAAAGCTGGACATGATCACTGGTTTAATCTGAGCATTGAGTTTAAAAATCATTGTCCAGTATTAGTTGCTTTCTGAGTCAGATGTGGTAAAGGACCCAGATCAGTGGGGACTAAAACCCCATAGGACTTAAACAACAAACCCTTGGTCTTTTCTCTATAAATTGTGAATAATTTGGTGACATCCATGTGTTGACTTCCACAAAACATTCCAGGAGTTGGTTCACAGAGTATTGGTTTTCCTGCTAGATTTGTCAGTCATCAGCATAAAAATGGAACACCATGTTTCCAGAGAATAGATCCTGGAACAGGTGTGTCAAACTGATTTTCAAAAGAGCCAGTTGTAATTAACTTCAATGTTTCCTGTTTAACTTCAACTCACATTCCTCGTCTCATTGCTACGGCTGAGCAATATTACCAGTCAACAAACCTACGTGTTTTTTTTGTGCACAGTGTTCTGCCAAGTCCTCTTACTAACACTGAAAAACACTAAGTGTACAACTGACTGTACACACTGTACACTGTGAAATAAATTATACAAAAATACCCCATGCACTTGTGCAGTGTTGAGATTACATCATTTAGTAGGTAAAATAATCAACATGCATTTTGGTTGATATAGTTTATGGTCAGTATTGGCTTTAAAGTAGCATACGCTTATTTTAAGAAATAAAAACAATAATTTCCTTACATGGGAAATTATTGTTGATCTACAGAGGTGTAGAAGCTACACCCTGAATGCTCGCCCAGTTCTACAGGCAAGACAGGAGAATCTGATGGTCCAACAATATAAAAACACAAACCAGAGTCTGTGGCTGAAAGAATGTCTTTAAAAACTGTCAATAGTGCCAACTCAGTATTGCTGTGAGTTTTAACACACCAGTACACAACTCAAGAAGGTTTCTAATTTAGGTATTAAATTAGTTGGCTGTAAACATTTTACTCCAGGATCTGACAGGAAGGGGAGTTTTGAGATTGACCTGAAATTTGAGAAATATATAAATTACCACATCAACAATAACATTTAGTTT